CCCTGAAGACAGTCTGCTCCAAGGGAGAGGAGGCTCCCCAGAGTCCTGACTGGCTTTGTGGGGAGCAGTTCCAGAGCATCGCCCGGGGACTCCGTGACAGATGCCCTCAGAGCTGGGGCGACTCCCCACTGCCCCAGAGGGGAGGGGAGCCAGACGTGGGCTTGTTCCCACTGGGAGACTCAGGGCTGTGCGAGGCCTGGCCCAGAAGTGGGGAGCACGGGGAGGGAACAAGGAGCCGCACCCCCCATTCTGCCCATTCCCCACCACAATGAGAGCCCCGGAGACAGCTGCAGCCCCTTCACTCACAGGAGCGTGGGGCTGCAGCCCCCCAAAGGGAGTGGGGGGAGGTGGGGCTGCCCCCCGAAGGTACATGGGCCCGGCTGGCAGGGAGAGGGGAGGGGCTGCACCGTCCCCAGGGGTGAGGGACTGAGCACCCGGCCCCTGCACTCACTGGGGCTCCAGCGTGGGGGACACGTGGGGGTCAGCGAGGGGCTGATGGGGGCAGAACTGCTCCGATTTCACGGGCTGTGTTCGGCTGTTTCCCTTCACCCGCGGAATGGACCAGATGCTCCAGTGACCAGAGATTTCAGACAGAGACACTGACCCGTCACCTGCAGCTCCCGGCTGCGTCTCTCCAGGGGGGTCTGTAGGGCGACGTGTCCCACCCGGCAGATGTACACGGCCCACTGGTCTCTCTGCAGCGAGGAGGTGAAGCTGAGTCTCGTCTCCTGCTGGAAGCTTTTCCCGTCCTGTGTGTGGGGAGCTCCGGGCTCGATTCTGTACTCGGCAGAGCCCTGCAGGGGAACAGCAGCCCCGGCCCCCCTGCCCCTCCGGAGCCAGGTCACACTCAGCGCCCCGGGGAAATGTCCCTTCATGCGGCAGCTCAGGGTGATTTCCTCCCCCGCCGTCACTGACTGGGGTTGGGAGATTTCCGACACCTCCGGGGGCCGCAGGACACCTGGGGAATGAAACATCCAGAGACAGTTACAGGCCCCGCAAGGGGGAGACGGGGTCTGGTGGGGGCTGCTCCCCCCTCCCTTCAGACAGGAGATCTGACCCTTCAGTGGGGCTGTTACCCCATAAAATCACCCCCGTGTGTGACACTGTTACACTCCGACCCATCGGCGTCTCCAACCAGAAAGGGGGACGAGAAATATTAGCTCCCAAAGCTCCTTCATCCCTCAGGGACGCCGTGGGGGCAGCGATTCCTGCTCATTCCCCATGTGACCCCAGGGAGCCCCCCTCACCTGTGTCCCCAGCTCTGATCTCTCTCTTGATCGGGACATCTCGGGGGCTTTGCTGAATGGACACTCGGACTCTGAGCTCCGAACGGTTCAGTCCCCGGCTGGGGATTCTCCAGACACTGGTAGCACTGAATGTGAGATCCGGATTCTGGTTGATTTCTGGGGTCTCGTCTCTTCCGCTCTCTGCCCCGTCCCAGCTCCACTGGATCTGGTGAATCCTCCCAGGGTAAAAGTTCTGGATCTGGACAGCAAACGGCACCTGATCCCGGGGCTCCCAGTGCGATAACACCTGGATCCTAGACACCTGCGGCAGGGCTGGCGGGACAGCAGGAGTGTCAGTGAGAGCAGGGGCTAGTAAAGGGGAGAGCTGTGTGACGAAGTGGGACTGTTCTTAATGTTTCCTCTGAATACTGTGTGGGTGCCTCAGTTTCCCCTATGCATTTCTTAAGTCTCTAGGTGGAGGGATAAAGGCCAGTGTGCATAAATCACCGACACTCTGTCTCCCTGGCAACTAATGGCCACAGCCCCTTCCCCCTTGCAAGGGAAAAGCTAAAGGTGAACAAAGAGATCATGTGACCTCCTGGCCCAGGAAAGGGACAAAGCCCAGAGAGGAGGGGCTGGAGGGGGGTTTCAGTTTGGAGCTGGCTGGGGACGGGGAGTGAGGGCAGACGTAGGTGTCTGGCTCGCTGGGCCCCAGAATGGACCCAGCTGAGGGGTCCGGTTCTCTGTACCTACACTCTCTGGTTTAGACCGTGTTCCCGTCATCTAATAAACCTACTGTTTTACTGGCTGGCCGAGAGTCACGTCTGACTGCGAAGTGGGGGTGCAGGACCCTCTGGCTCCCCCAGGACCCCGCCCGGGCGGACTCGCTGTGGGAAGCGCACGGAGGGGCATATGCTGAATGCTCCAAGGTCAGACCCAGGAGGTGAAGCTGTGTGAGCTTCTTGTCCTGGAGACAGTCTGCTCCCAGAGAGGAGGCTCCCCAGAGTCCTGCCCGGCTTCGTAGGGAGCAATTCCAGAGCATCGCCCGGGGACTCCGTGACAAGCTGTAACATGTCTCTCCAGAGAACTGACTCAGGCGCCGCTGGGAAAGGGGGCGGGTGGGGACAGACAGGGCTGATCTCACACGAGATGCCCAAGTCCCGGCTCTAGTATTAAATCCCACGCACCCAAACGAGGAAGCAACAGGACTGGGCCAGGAATCCCCAGGGGCTCGTAATGTGCTTGTAATGGCTGAGCCCAGGGGGACCTGCTGACAGCTGACTGTAGTTCGGCTACCCACGGTGAGGAGGGGATCACCAGCTGCTCCTTAAATCCCGGGGAATCCTTCCCTCCTTGGGATAAAGGGGCAACATCCCTGCCCTACCACCTGCCCCAGGCTGCTGTGGGCGATGCTGCACACGCTGTATTTACAGCTGCACAAGGGTTTTCATTCTACACGTTTGTTAAAGTTCCTGTGAGGTTTGGCCCCCGAGGTGACTCGTGTAACGTCTGGGCAGGAGCCCTGCAGCCATTTGCGCTGGGGAAGAATGAAACAGAACAAATGAATCTCTGGCCCTGGTGTGAAAAGCTCCCAGCCCCACTGACCGGAGCAGGGCTGCCGCCGAAGGTGCTGACAATCTCCCCGCGCTCTGCATTGAGCTGCACTCAGGCTAGGACCCCAGAGAGCTGTGTGTACAGGGCGGGAGCAGGAGCTCACAGGGACAGCTTGGTGGTGTATTGGCAGGGAGATGCGGGTGCCGTTTGCAGTGTGTCCGTATCTGGCCGGGAACGTCTACACAGCGGCCGGGAGGGGTCATTCCCAGCGGGGACAGACAGACGGCCTGGTGCTAAAAACAGCCGCGTGGCCGCAGGAGCTCAGGCTAGCCACCGGAGTACAGCCCTGCCTGGCCCCTGGGGGCGCACTCGGCGCTAGCCTGGCCCCCCACCCCCCCGCTGTGCCCACACGGCTATTGTCAGGCGGTAGCTGGAGCAGACTGAGTGCGTGTCTGACGACCCGGGCTGAGCATGGCGCGTCCCAGCGGCTGGGCACATCCCTTCCAGGCCCCAGGAGCTCCCCTGCGAGGTGCGAGTCTGTCACCGCCCCCGGAAACGTGTTGTGGGAGCATCAGGGGATGGCTAAGAGATGGTGGCCACCTTTGGTAAGGGCAGCCTCATTTTCACGTGGTCGGCCATCTTTCCTAAGAGCAGCTGGTAGATTCAGTGCCATTGAAACAACAGGGGACAGCAGCCATCTTTACTGTGGGCGGCCTCGCCAGTGGAAAAGGGACCGTCTCTGCTGAGGGTTTGAGTAGCTTCAACCCCATGAGCTGGTGTCAGTCCCACGGCACGGTGTGGGGAGCAGCAGCTCTCCTGGGCAAGGGCCAGTTGTGCCCGTAAGATCAAAGACTGGGTACACCATTAATCACTTTGCTTAATTACAGCTAAATGTCTTCACCTGTCCCTTTGCCGTTAGTTTTCAGTGGGGTTTAGTCATGGCAGCCATGGGAAGGAGACAGACCCAGCTGATACTGGCAAAAGGTGTCAACGAAGGTCAGATGCTTTAGGTAAAACCTTCTCAAAGATCCCATTCCCAAACCAGATCCCAGATTTAGTAGAAATTCCCTAGAAAATTTCTCCTTTGCCCTCAGACCCTGGGCTGTGAGTTTGGGGAGGACACGTTGTTCTCCTCCTGCGAAACAATGAGGGCGAGTCCCTGTCCTAAATGGAAAACTGAACCCAGTTTTAAACAGAGGGGCTGCTGCAGCCGCCCATCAATTCTCTCCAGACCTGACACCCCCTTTCCCCAGCACTGGGGGAACCTGCAAGCAGCCAACGGGCCAGTCCCCAAACGTTCCAGGAACCGCCCCACACGCTGGGAACCGGCCGGGGGAGGCTCAGCCCAAAGTGACACTTTGTCTGGACGCTCCAAGTGCCTGAGAGCAGAGACCACCTCAGCCACAGCCACCCCAGCGTCAGCGCGGCGCTGCCCGGCCCCACTCACTCGTACCTCGCAGCTCCAGCGGCCCAGTGGATTTCCCTTCAGGCTCCTGTAGGGTTTGATGTTCCACAGAACACAGGTACTTTGCCCCGTCGTCCTTGGGCAGCACGGGGGTGAAGCGGAGCTGGGATGTCACGCTGTAGGATTTCCCATCTGACGCGGCTGTAGGGTCTGGGGTGACAATCTTGTGGGTGTCCGGGTTGTCTAAGTGCCTGAACGCTGACTCTCCTCTTCCCCGTCGGTGCCAGGTCACTCTCAGCTCCTTGGGGTAGAACTTGGATATTTGGCAGCTCAGTGTAACCGGCTCCCCGGGGGCCAGGACCTGTGGCCGGGAGATCTCGCTCAGAACTGGAGCCTGTGGGACTAGAACATGTGGAAATTGCACGTCATAGTTACAGCACCTGGAGGTCTGACACACGCCCCCCGTCACCATCTGATCTGACCTGGCCCCGTGTCCCCAGCAGCCTCTGCCAGGCCCACCCCTCACCCAGGGAGAGCTCCTCTGAACGACTCCTGTAACACCCACAACCTCAGGGGTGCTGGGGTTACCTGGGAGAGGGGTCAGGAGTCGGTGTGGGGCCACAACTGCCCTGACAGTGGGGGTCAGTTGAGCTCACAACCCCTCTGCCTGCAGGTGTTACTGTGATGAAGTGCGACTGTTCTTAATGTTTCCTCTGAATACTGTGTGGGTGCCTCAGTTTCCCCTATGCATTTCTTAAGTCTCTAGGGGGTGAGATTGTTGCAGAGCAAAGGGCCAGTGTGCATAAATGGCCGACACTCTGTCTCCTGGTAACTAATGGCCGGGGCCCTTCCCCCCTGCAAGGGGATGCTAAAGGTGTTTGGAGAACAAAGGGATCAGGTGACCTCCTGTCCAGGGAAAGAGACAAAGCAGAGAAGGAGGGGCTGGAGGGGGTTTCAGTTTGGAGCTGGCTGGGGACGTGTGTGTCTGGCTCACTGCCCCCGAAGATGGACCTGACTGAGGGGTCCGGTTCGCTGTACCTACAAGCTCTGTTTTAGACCGTGCTCCTGTTGTCTAATAAACCTCTGTTTTACTGGCTGGCTGAGAGTCACGTTTGACTGCAAAGTAGGGGGTGCAGGACCCTCTGGCTTCCCCAGGACCCCGCCTGGACGGACTCACTGTGG